CTTTCAGCCGGGGGCCAGTAGCTCAGAATTTCTGTCTCCTTTTACTTACTCTTTGGAGGACTCGGCCTCGGGCATACACACAGAGTTCCTGATCACCGGGGAGACTGCAGGTTTAGCTGAACTCTCTTTGTCTCTTTCCATGACCTCCTCATTAAGCTTCTGGCTCATCTGCTTCTATATATATCATACCTCCATACAATTAGCCTCCACTAATTGCTGGTTAATTGCTCCATTGTTCTTACTAATGACTTGGGGCATAAATTGCTCCACAGTCTGATCCAGTGAAAGTAGAGCCCCTTGGCAGGATCAGAGCTTTGGCAGTCTTATGGCTCGCTCCAGCGTTTTCCTGGGAAGAATGTCTGTGCTTTGGATGAGGAGTCAGGGAGGTGAGGAGGTAGGGAACTCACTCTTTACCAGCTGCACCACCATCCTTACCAAGCAGGAGCTGTGTGGGGGGAAGGTAGGAACTGGCGCTGTCAGCTAGCCGCCCCACCACCCAGTATAGATCTTCCACAGCCCAGAGGTGAGGTTTGGGGGTTGGAGTAGAAGATGGAATATGCCAGTATTCACCAGCTGCCAAATGTGCCTACATTAGATCTTCCACCTCAGGAAGCTGGAGGGGATGGGAGCTGCCCCTCAGTTGTTAGCCTTCACCTAGCTTTTGGGAAGGTCTCTAGTTAGATATAAATAATCTGGTTCCAATTCAAAGACAGTAAGAATAATATCTCTCATCTTACATGCTCTTCTTCAATGGGATCCCCATCAAAAGTTGAGGATTTTTTCCCTATTTCCTTGGGTGGGTTGAAGGCCCTGTGCCTGTTTTAACTAGTGAAATATAGGGGAAGTAATGCTGTTCCCTTAGATGGAGTTTTAACTGGCCTTGAACCTTCTCCCTGCATCTCACAATACTTGCTTCCAAGATACGCTATCCTAAGATCTAGCTATCCTGCTGAGAAGCCAATCCACATGCAGAAGCCATGTTGAGGTGCTTCCGTTGGTGTCCCAAACTGAGCTTCCAGTCTATAGCTAGCACCAACTGCCTGCCATGTGAGTGACCCATCTTGGATGTTCCAGCCCAGATGAGGCCCCAAATGACTTCAGCCCCCACAGATAGCATCCACAGCCGAACCACCCAGGTAAGCCCAACAGATCCACAGAATCATAAGCAGTAATAAAATAGCTGTTGGATATTGTTATTTTAAGCCATGAAGTTTGACTCAGTGTGTTCACCCACCTGGAAGTCCCCCAAACCCCATTGTTTACAGGATGTTTCATTACATAGGCATGATTCATGAAATCACTGGCCATTCATGTTTGAAAATCTGTAGCCCTTCTCTCCCCAAAGTCAGAGGGTAAAGATGAAAGTTTCAATCCTCTAATCATATGGTTGGTTCCTCTGGCTGCCCGCCTCCATCCCAAAGCTGTCTGGAGCACCACCAGGAGTCACCTCATTAATATAAAATGAGGTGAAGTCTAAGGAACTTGTTATGAATAAATTATACTCTTATCACTCAGGAAATTCCAAGGGTCTCAAGAGCTCTGTGCTCCAGGGACATAGACCAAATATATATATATTTTTTCTTATACTACAACCCTATATAAGTAACATCTACCTAAATCAGTGTCTTCCAAACTTATTTGGCCACGATCCTTAAATATGTCTCACCTTCTAAGCACATATGCAAACACCACACACAGATATATGTAGATGCATATATAACACTGAAACTAAAGTTTTCTACAATTTCAAGGAAATCATATTCACCCTCACTGCATGCAATATACTCTGATATTTTCAATCCAGTTTAAGTCATTCCTGTTCCATTCCGTTCCTCCTCCTTCCTTTTTCCTTTCAAAGGCTGGTTCCAATCCATGAAATGATTTTCCTGACCCACTAATGTGTCTCAAGGCATAGTTTGAAAGAAACTGTGCTCTCAGTAGCCAAGACTTACTATGTCTCTTCTCTGAAGCCTTATGGAGAAGAAGGAGAGAGAAGATACCCTTTACCAAAAGGAGTCACCTCCTGGACCAGCAGGTGAAGATACACCTCAGAAATGGCACCCCCCCTTCCTTCCTGCTAATGACGTGATAAGCTGCAAATTTCTCATGCAGAGTAAGAGATCAGAGCTCAGTGAGTGTCAACTGTGTAGCTATAAAGAAGAATGAGAACAGGTGACGGATGGCAGCAGAAAGACTTACATCCCTTACAGACGGCTCTCGCCCACGCAACAGCTGAACACATGTTTTTCAGTCAGTCTCTTATTTCAGAAATCCAAACTGCTGTCCTAGGACCCTCTTGGCTCTACACCTGCCCTCAAGCGTGTACTTGAGTCTTTGTGTCCCCTACCACCAGTCATACCTCTGCACTGTCCCGAGAAGGCTGGGTGACCTCACCACCAGACACCAATAGCCGGCAGGCTGACCATTCTAGAGATCTCTTCTAGAGCTGTGGACATAGAAAGGGAGTCCTCGCCTAGCACTGGAAGAGGGGGTCTGGCTTCAAGAAACAAGTGTGTCCCAGAAAGGGTGGCAAAGGGCTTGGTTCCTAGAGATGTCATGCCCAGCTTTGTGAGTTTAAAGACAGATGTTCTTTGTTATTCTAGAGAAGCATATGGCTTTTTACGCCTTCTTTATTCTTCCCTCGGTTAAATTGCTATGGAATTGTCTCCCTTCTTTTAATGGACTGTGTCTAACATCTGTGCAGTTACAAATCGGGCATGCTCATTTGTGGGTTTATGGAGCTTGAATAACCTCATGTCTGCCACGGACCTGCTGCCCCATGCAAACAGCGAGAAGCGGGGGGGCACTGCTGGAGTGTGAATTAAGTCAGTTCACAGGGCAAGGAAAATTAATGAAGCAATGGGTATTAAGGACAAAAGAAATCCTAACCTAACTGTCCTGGAATATTGCTTAACCTGGAATCATTTGCCTTCACTAAAGCTTGTACGTGACATGAGCATGGCATTTCCTGGGTTTTATTTTTTATAATACAAATTTAACATGCATATTACAGAGAATTTTTAAAATATAAAAAAGGAAACAAATCAGTCATAATCGTGCTACTCAAAGAAGACTACAGTTATTGTTTTGATTTTTTTTTCACTCATTTTATCCCAGGCATGAGTGTACTTGAGATGCATTGGAATCGTTAAACTGTATATGCAATTTTGTAATCTGCTTTTTAAATTCCCCATTATATTCCCCATGTTGTCTCCAAAAGCATCCCACAAAATATTTTTATCTCAATTTCTCCTTCATTCTTATCAAAAAATATGTGTGTGCTCCGTCAATATCTTCAAAGATCAACAGATTTGGAACATGCAGTGTTTGGGTGTTCTAGATTTTAAAAATTAGTGTCCTTGGCAATGACAGGCCAAAGTAAAGAAAATACAGGCCTTTTTTTTTTTATTTTTCTGCAATTGCTTTGAAATTAGGCTCTCTCTGTAGGGTGACAGTTAACACCAACCACCTCCTGTACTTGGTGGTTACTGAGACGTGCATTTGTGTCTCCTGGGAAAGAGGCCTAGAACCCTTTAAGTAGGATTAAAATCCTACTTTTTTAAAAAGGGGACAGTCTACCAATCTGAACCCTGGATTTTTCAGAAGGGGGAAAGTAATAAAGTCTCTTTTCAAATCAAGTAATTGTGAGGTTAAGTTGGGCCCATTAAAATGCGGTTTGCAGTCCCCCGACCTTGAGGCACAGCCTTTTCAAACAGGTGGACAGAGGACTCTAGAACCCTCCATAACTGCTGGGAAATGGGAATTCTTCCAAACTTAATGGATTTTATTGGGGGGGGATATTTAATTTCACTTTGGGCATAGAAAGTAGGGGCCGGTGGGAGGGACCTTTTAAAAAATTATAAAACTCTTCTCTTGTCCCCCTCCAGCTGTGCACTTACAGTATTGTTCGGATTTTCTTAGAGGACCTAAGGCAGGTGGCATCAAGCCAGCCCTCCCCCGCCTCCCTCTAGAACCCCCTGGGAGCTGAGTGTGGGGCGCAGGCTTGATGGCCCGGCCCGCGGAGGACAGGGTGCCTCGCTGCCCAGATGGCGCCGCCGCCTGCCTTCCTGCCAAGGACGGGACAAGCCGCAAATTTCCCGCCGACCATGTGTGATCTCTGTGGTCTTCCTCCCAAGCTCTTCCTCCAGCCACCCTCGACTGCAAAGGCGGCTCTACTCCTGGCTCTCCAGCACCGAGCGGCTTCAAGAAAGAGAAAATAAGGACACTAGGCCTCTGGGCAGTGGAGTGGCCCCATCAGGAAGCTGACGGGGAGTAAAATGCCACCTACATGGGGCCTCTGTGTGGCCTTGAGTGAGTGTGTCCCAACGAGTGTGTTCGGAGTTTTCACCTGGGCCACATAGGTGCCGTGGGACAGAGTGTCCTGGGTTTCTCTGGGTGCCAAGGAACCGAGGGCCCGGGCCTGCCTTTGAGAGCTGTTGCAAAGCCATCCTCCTCATCCTCCAGGGCTGCGAGGTGGCAGGTCTTCCTCCCTCTCCTGGCACCAGGGCACCAGGCTGCAGGGACAGCGCTGGGGCCTGAGTGACAAGGAGACGAGCTGGAAAAGGCTGTTTGCAGGGAGGAGGAGCAGCCCAGAACCACCAACGCCCTGCGTGCAGGGCCCAACCTGCGCAGGGTCCCAGGGGACCCGGACCGGACAGGGCGGCCCTGCAGAGATGCCGAGCATTCCTTCCAAACAGGGACGAGCCCAGGAATCTGTGTTTTCCTACTGATGCTGACCTCAGGCTCTGTCATCCTCTGCGTCTCCACAGCTGCATCCCTGGGCTCTATCAGCCACCAATCTGCAACCCACGGATTGAAGCGCTTTTCAACCAGGAGATAAGGACATTGGTTTGGTGACACACAATAGTCTAGTCTTGTCTTTTCAAGGAAGCTGTGCTTTTTCAAGACACCAGATTTCTAACTGTACCGACCACTTAACGTCACTCACACACATAAAGTGATGGGCAGGAGTTAAACATGTTGATCTTCCGAACCTACTTCCTTCCGTCTTTGCACCATTGTTCCCTTTGTGCCCAACCTTCACGTCATGAAGGCCACGCAGTCTCTCAAATCCCGAGGCTACGTAAAGGAACAGTTAGCCTGGCGACATTTCTACTGGTACCTTACCAACGAGGGTATCCAGTATCTCCGTGATTACCTCCACCTACCCCCCGAGATTGTGCCTGCCACTCCGCGCCGCAGCCGACCTGAGACCGGCAGGCCACGGCCCAAAGGTCTAGAGGGAGAGCGGCCTGCAAGACTCACACAAGGGGAAGCTGACAGAGACACCTACAGACGAAGCGCTGTGCCCCCTGGCACCGACAAGAAAGCTGAGGCTGGGGTTGGGTCAGCAACCGAGTTCCAGTTTAGAGGTGGATTTGGTCGTGGACATGGTCAGCCACCTCAGTAAAATTGGAGATTGTTTTGTGTTGAATAAATCGATAGCCAGAAAAACATTAAATATATATATATATTAGGCCAAATTAGGTGGGTCAGTCTGGTCTGTGTTGCTTGGCAGAGGTTCAAATCTCCTCCACCTCCGCCTTCGGAAAGTCTGAAGAAGCCAAGATGAATCTCAATCTCCATTTCAACTGTAAGTAACAGAAAGAAAAAAAAGAAAAAAAGAAAGAAAGAAAGAAAGAAAGAAAGAAAGAAAGAAAGAAAGAAAGAAAGAAAGAAAGAAGAAAGAAAAGAAGAATGAGGAAATGGAATCAAACTTTAAAATTTTTCTCCAGGACAAAAAAAAAAAAAAGCGGGTGTGTTTGTATTCTCTCTTTTTCCTGCCTATCCCATTGTATATGATTTCACATCACAAGAATTTCTGTTACAAGTCAGACCCAGCTCTGCCTTTGAAAGAGGCAGCCAAGTACAGTTATGGGAACGAAGCGTATCTCATCTACGAGGCCAGCATTGAAGGATAAGCTGCGGCTCTTAGACGTTGGGGAACAGGAGTGACAAGAGCTTCCTGAAACTGTGAAGTCCTGGCCCAAGGGATGCAGCTCAGTCACACCGTCAGGGGACTCTGGAGCAAGTGAGTTGGGGAGGGGAAGTCGCTGAGAAACCCTGCAAATTAGAGCAAAACACCTCTGGCTCTGGCAGCCTGTTGGCCTCAGGGAGGACCAGAAGCTTAGGGGGTGAAGAAGTTGAAGTGGTGAGTATGGACATCCTTTTAAAGATGGTTAGAAAGGGAAAGGAAGAAATTGAACAATAGCTGGTGGTAGGTGCCAGGAGGAAGATATCGTGTACCTTTTTTTTTTAAAGAATGGAAAGATTTAGGGCGCCTGGGTGGCTCAGTGGTTGAGTGTCTGCCTTTGGTTCAGGGCATGATCCCGGGGTCCTGGGATCGAGTCCCACATCAGGGTCCCTGCAGGGAGCCTGCTTCTCCGTCTGCCTGTGTCTCTGCCTCTCTCTCTCTGTCCCTCATGAATAAATAAATAAAATCTTAAAAAAAAAAAGAATGGCAAGATTTAAGTGTATTTATGTGCTTAAATGAAAGGACTGATAGAGAGGTCGGAGATTACAGGAGAACAGAAGATGACCAGAGTCTAGGCCCCAGAGGAGGCAAGAACACTGAGGATCCAGCTCATCGCCAGTGCGCGACCAACCAGCTTTGCAGAGGAAGAGGGAACTATATCCTCGGAGTCAGGAGGCAACCTGAGTAACCTTCTGGGATAAGAGTAAATGGACGGAGTCCTAAAGTTCCTATACAAGTGTTGCTTGGTCATTTGAACTTATTTGAAGTGTCGAAATAGGGAATAGGACTTAGAGAAGAAAAAAAAATGCATACCCAGGAAAGCTCTAGTTGTCGAAGCCCAACCAGCGGTTCCCAGATGTTCAGGAGAAATGGCTCTATCTTCTCACCAAAAAAGGGCTGATTGGAGTCCTAGCCTCTTCTTGTGGCTGCTAACTGACCCTCTGTTAGAAACATCCTGCACGGATGACTTATTTGAGGCCAGTGACCTGGTGGTTCTCAGGGGACAATATCTCGCAAAGCCCCAGGCAGTGCTAAGGGCCCTAACCCAGTGTTTCTCACGTCTGTTTTGTATTATATGCGAGTCGTGCACGTATAGCAAGAGCGAGCAGCAGGAAAGGGGGGAGAAAGTCCCTCGCAGTCACGCAAAGATGTGCCTTTTAAGACCTGGGTGCTGCCCTAGCTCCCCCCAGGATGCCCCGACAGCCCTTGCCTCCCGGCATTCAGGGCCGCGTGTCGTCCCCTCGCACACGGACTCGAGGCCGGCCCTGCGCGCCGTGGCCAGGGCAAAGGTGCAGCTTGGGGGCTGAGGCCATAGAAGGCCGCAGAGCTTCCCCGGTGACCGGCGGGTGTCGGTAGCAGCATTTTCACATTTGGGGCCAGAGAATTCTTCGCCATGGGAGGCCGTTCCGGGCACTGTAAGGGGTCTCGAGCACCCGGGTCTCTACCTGTTAGGGGCCGGGAGCCCCTCATGCTCAGCTGTAAGAGACCAATGTCCCCAGACCCCGCTGAACAACCTTGGGGTGTGGGGTAAAGCTGCCCCCAGCTGCTGGCTCGGGGGGGGAAAGCAGCTCCCAAACATCGTGACACGGCTCGGGGAGGAACTGAGTGCCCCCCAGCCAAGGACGGACCCCAGGGGCCATCACTGTAGGAAAGTCACCCGAGAGTGGGTCCAGCCCCAGACACCGGGGCTCCAGCCAAAACTGGTGGCGAACACGCGAGAGCCAGAGAGACCCCGACGGACGGCCCCCAAATTCTTGACCCACGGAAACCAGGGGAGATCATCATGATTGTGTTTTAAAAGCCACCCAGTTTGGGGGAGACTCGCTCAGTAGGTGCCTCGTTAGGCATCACCCTTGATGTTCGAATACCGGGGCCACACACAGGAGATGTGCACTGTCTCCAAGATCCTTTTTCTTTCTGGAGAGCGTTTCCCTCAGGTCCAGGTGGAGAACGGTGATCGGCACCACTGTCTGCTCCACACACAGAATTATCTTGTGAACCTGAATTATTCACAGCATTTCAGTTGGCGGGGAAAAGCATAAACGCTAGCCCTAAGGAGTGTGGCAGGAGGGGATGCTGGCTCCCAAGTCTTAGCTATCGCATCCCAATTTTTGTGAACTAAGTTCCTGTCTCCAAAGCAATGACATACTTGCAGGAACCCCGGCCCTGCCTGGCCGGGTGTGTAGGACCAAGGGGGCCTCCGTCGGGCTCAGGCCAGGTCACCGTGGGAGGCAGGGGGCAAGGGACCTGGGGCGTTGTGCTGATTCAGGCTGATTATCCAGGGGCCTGCCCACCTCCGTGGCCTGAAGGACAATGGCAATATCATCTGCTGCCTAAAAAAAACCAAATCGGGGGGCGGGGGTGCAGCCCGGGTGCCCAGTGGTTTAGTGCCGCCTTTGGCCCAGGGCCTGATCCTGGAGACCCGGGATCGAGTCCCATGTCGGGCTCCCTGCACGGAGCCTGCTTCTCCCTTTGCGTGTGTCTCTATGAATAAATAAATAAAATTAAAAAAAAATTGATACGTCTTTCCTAAACAGGCTGAATGTGCTGCTCCCGCAGTGAGGCACTTACTGAGGCAGGAGATCAAATTTCTCAGTCCTGGGAGCCCTGCTCTTGCTCGTCCTACTGCTTTGGTATTAAGCTCTGGGACCAGTGTGTTGGCGCTGAGATCTTGGCAAGGGAGCTTGGGGTTTTTGTTTTTGTCATTGTGTGTTTCCCATATGATTCTCATTTTTACAATGGATTACATTCCCTGTGTGTGTGTCTCTTCTTCTTTTTCTTCTTCTTCTTCTTTCTTCTTCTTCTTCTTCTTCTTCTTCTTCTTCTTCTTCTTCTTCTTCTTCTTCTTCTTTTCTTTCTTTTAGCTGCCATAAGCTGGAGTTATTCAGCTTTGGTTTTCAATATTGTTAACAAAGATGCATGACTCCACGTTTTACTCTGGTCAACAGATATGTTATTCCATTAGCAAATTGCTGATTTTTAGATTACTGAATCCAGTGACCCAGTTCTAGAAACATAAATGTCATGCCAGTGATTACCCTGCAAATTTATTAGGGGAGAGGAAGCTGGAAATTAGGAAGCAAAGAACTACAGATTCTTACTTCTTTGGTTTGATTTTAAAGTTCAACCAGCCAATACATCATCAAGTATTTATTTGAGGAAAGGGGACAGGAAAGGAAAGAAGAATAAGAAAACCTTTTTAGACCTTAAAATGAGCCAGATACTTTGTGAGGCTCTGCATTTTCTCGCTCAGGCTTCATTAAGAAGGTAGGTACTGCGGTCCCTGAGGTCAAATGTGGAAACAGGCATTCAGAGCTTCAGCGTCATGTCCTGATGTTCAAGTGGTCCAGGCAGCATTTGACCCTAGCTCTGCCTTCCTCCTAGCCTTCGTCTTCTGCTAAGCCACATAGATGACATTTCTCTTTGTGTCAGAGTTCTTGACAGGAAACAGCCCTGATAAGCAAAGAGGAATTTACTGGATGGAAAGGGGGTTGGTGGTAAGTGGAGGAGGATATGAGTGTGGCTCACAGCATCAGTAGGGGAGTGCAGGACCACACTTGGGAACGAGTAGGAGCAAAGTATCTTGGAAATCCTAAGACACAGCAATGATCTCCCTACAGAAGCAGGTAGCCAGGCCTGCTGGCTCGCTTCTGAGAATGACCCAACCCGATCCCCCCTGCCTTTCCTCAAGAGTCAGAGTCCCAGATAGTGTGTCTAACCGGCCAAGCCTAGGGCTCACGCTCACCCACACAGATGCATCCCGACACAAGGATAGCTTCTGCCAAGACCTCATGTAGCAGAGGAAATTTGGAGTCATGGATGCCAGACAGTCAGGCCTGTCACATGTCCATCAAGCTCTTGAAAACTGAATGTCTTTTTTTTTAATAAATTAATTTTTATTGGTGTTCAATTTACCAACATACAGAATAACACCCAGTGCTCATCCCGTCAAGTGTCCCCCTCAGTGCCCGTCACCCATTCACCCCCACCCCCCGCCCTCCACCCCTAGTTCATTTCCCAGAGTTAGGAGTCTTCATGTTCTGTCTCCCTTTCTGATATTTCCCACACATTTCTTCTCCCTTCCCTTATATTCCCTTTCACTATTATTCATATTCCCCAAATGAATGAGAACATACACTGTTTGTCCTTCTCCAATTGACTTACTTCCCTCAGCATAATACCCTCCAGTTCCATCCACGTTGAAGCAAATGGTGGGTATTTGTCGTTTCTAATGGCTGAGGAATATTCCATTGTATACATAAACCACATCTTCTTTATCCATCATCTTTCAATGGACACCGAAGCTCCTTCCGCAGTTTGGCTATTGTGGACATGGCTGCTAGAAACATCGGGGTGCAGGTGTCCTGGTGTTTCATTGCATCTGTATCTTTGGGGTAAATCCCCAGCAGTGCAATTGCTGGGTCGTAGGGCAGGTCTATTTCTAACTCTTTGAGGAACCTCCACACAGTTTTCCAGAGTGGCTGCAC